CCTGGTGGGGGTTGTCATTACTGTTAAGTGCCATCAAGTTAAGTTCCAACTCATAGTGACCCTGTATAGGGTTTCTGAGGAGCAACTGGTGAGTTTGAACTGCCAACCTTACATTCAACCATGTAAATAAGGAGTATGGAACCCTAATGGAGAATTGGTCAGTTTTGCCATTCCACCTAGGCTTAAAATGAGACATCCCAGAAATGGACAGGGTAGACCTGATTACCATCAAGATGGCAAGAGACCATAAGAAGCTACAGCAGTAGAACAGTAGCAACAAGTGCCTTCAAATAGGAGTTGTAGAAAAAAATCAGGATCTTACATAGTGGTTACGAATCGGGCTGTGAACCGCAAGGTCAGCAGTTTGAAACTAACAGCTGCTCCGCGGGAGAAAGATGAGGCTTTCTGCTCCCATAAAGATTTACAACCTTGGAAATCCTGTTCAGGGTTGCTATGGGTCGGAACCGACTCAACGGCACTTAACAGTAACAACAAAGTAATATAACTATAGTGAATCCCTCAGTATGAACACAATTGTGAGTATGTACGTGTGCCAGGAGGAACGGGAATGTCAAACAAGGTAACCAATTTAAAATACATAGTTTCTGAACGTCTGCACAGACTCTTGATCTAACATTGAAGAGGAATGGTTGACATCCCGGCCTTTGTTTGGCCCACACTCTGTTAACATATCAAGTTCTGATAAAATGTTTAAGCAGACAAATCACATTCTCTGGCAAATGCAAAACCAAAGTCACTGGGAGGGGAGATTAATACATAATCATTTTTCAATCATCAGTTCCCTATATTTGAAATCCAAGGATTTATACAATATACAATTTTATAATTTTGGTTATAGCTTATCTGAATTGAGTGGATGTTGCTGGATAAAAAACAGATAATTATGGGTTAGGATAAGAAAAGTATGGCAAAATGAACATTTAGCAAGGAAAGAAGAGGTTTATGCAATAAAACCTGGGGAAAGAAACAAAAAGGTAAGATAAAGTAAATCCAGGTCTGAGATTTGCATTCCAGTGGTTCATAAGAAGGCAGAGTGTTGGGAACTCAGAAGGCAGGGCCCAGGAAGTCAACCAATCAATAAATCATTGTGTCTTTGGATGCACACAAAAGATGTACACACACCAAAAATGCATCTTCCATTTTGAAGTTAGAAATCAGCTCCTCATTTGTGATTTTAAGAGTGCCAGCATCTTGTAAGTATTAAACTCCTCCACGGCAAACAAACAAATGCATATTTATTATTTGCAACAAATATTTTTTAAAATGTACTGTAACCACAGGGAAGGCTATCCTATCAAGTGAGCTAAAAAAGAGCAATGACAATTAATAGGTTAATATCCCTGATTTTAAGACGTGTAAGCCCGGATGGCACAAAAACTTATCCTGCTAACTCTTAGACTGACGGTTACAGCCTACAGTGGCTCCCAAAGAGAAAGGCAGTTTGTTTCTGTTAAGATTCTAGCCAAGAAAACCCTATGGAGTTGACTGCTCATAACCACAAATTGCAATTATCTTTATTTCATAGGGAATTTTTGTCTTTTATTTAATCTTAACAAGTAAGGCTTTTTTCCTCAAAAAGTTCCCTCATATTACTGGGTCCACCAATTTTTCTAACCTTTTACATAAAGGTGTTATTCCCATTTAGGAAAACTCAAAAAGTTGGAAAGACAATATTAGTAAACACTGGCTTACCACAGTTTTATAAAATAATAACTGTTATGGGTAATCAAGGAGCTCATGTGGCACTGTAGGATAAGGACTGAATTGCTAACCGCAAAGTCAGCAGTTCACACCAACGAGCTGGTCTGAGGGAGAAAGATGAGGCTTTCTCCTAATGTAAAGAATTATAGCCTCAGAAACCCTGTACAGGATCACTATGAATTGGAATCAACTAGGTAACAGTGAGTTTTTGTATGGGTAATAAAGGGAACCCTAGGACTCCTGGTATGGAGCTGTTGGATCAGCACTGGGCTTTGAACCACAAGGTCAGCAGTTCAAAACCCACCAGGTGCTCCTTGGAAACCCTATACAGGATCACTATGAGTCAGAACTGACTCAACGATTCTTAACAACAAAACAGGAACCCTAGTGGCCCACTGGTTAAGTACTCTGCTGCAAACCAAAAAGTGTATGGTTTAAACCCAACAACCACTCTGAGCAAGACAGATGTGACAATCCGCTTTTGTAAAGATGATTTACAGCTCTGGAAACCCTATGGAATAGTTCTACTCTATAGTATAGGGTCAGTGTAAATCAAAGTCGACTCAAAGGCAACGGGTTTGATTGGGTTTCATGTATAATACATAGTAAAGATGATGAAGAGATTAAAATAACAAAAAAAGAAAACAGGGAAAATCACTGGATCGCTGGCAGGTAATTTTGATCAGCAGAAACTAAAAAGAAACATTCATAATTTATACGAAGGAAACAAAACAAAAATGCAAAAATAAAGCAAAGTTAAATGTGATATAGTTATCCTTCATTTTTTTTTTTTTTTCAAAATATCATTAACAGTTGCAAGTTGAAAGGTATTATCTTCCAAGCAGTTCATTTCACAACCATCTTGGTTGTTAAATTTGGAAACTGATATGTTTACATATCAAGGAAATCCCACTAAATTAAAATTTATATCCATACTATATATTTTAAATAAGTAGAACTTACAAATACGTCAAATGTTTCCTTTTTACCTTTATTTGTAATAAAATACTGTGATTAGATCAAAGCTCAACAACACAGCTCCAAAGTAAATTAAATGTCACTTATTAACCACATATTGTTACCTCTGGAGTAACTTAAAATTTTCCTTAAAACGTTAATTGCATTTTTTTAATTGTGTTTGAACATTTCATTAAAATAGGATTGATTGAGGGCATATGCACAAGAACACCCACACTTGCAGATAATACCCACTTGGCCTGGCTTCAATGACTGGATGATCAGAGCTCAACTAGAAGAAGAAAGAAGAGGAAACAAAAAAAGTAATCTAATACAATTTGATGAACTTGACCTACACATATGGATGCAGTAGCTCAAAAGAGGGAACAAATCTTCACAGCAAGGATCATTCCCACCCCCTCCATACACAGAGTAGACAGGGATGGACAACTTGGACATTGGCTACCCAAAATGGGGTGGGGCTACAAAGGCAAGAAGTGACTGGCTTATAAACTTTCAAGAAGGAATCTAGATCCAGAGGGCATGGAGAAAGGTAGAATCTCCACTGAGTAGTATCCAATCCGTCTAGGCGGGGCTGATGAAAGGAAATGCGATAGGTCTCTTGTGATACAATAGTGAATAATTGTTATCAGGACTGAATTGTGAGGGTTGGAAATGTAAAGGTAGAGGTTTTGTAGCAAGGAGGTGAGTGATTAACTTTGCAGTCTAAGAGCGAAAGTCCCTGGGACCATCAAGAGAGAAGAGCAGAGATTGGAACCTACACAGAGAAGCAGTGACGCCAGAGATGGAGGCAGAGACAATGACATGGCGAGATGGAGCAGCTGGAGACTTTAGACCCAAAGAGGGAGAGGGGGCTGTGTGCTGAGGTGGGGAGGGAGTGGCAGGCAGGCTTGCAGGGTATATACCCTGTGGTTGGTTGATGATGCTTGGAGGGCATAGCAATGAAATGATATACGATAGGATGAATGTAAAGCTAATGTTCTCCCATGTAAACTATCACATAATTCACAATAAAACATTTTTAAAAATAGGATTACTAATAAGACTGGAAATTTGGACTCCATGGTACCCAACAATAACAAGGAGTTGGAGAGAATTACCAGTATGTCATTTAATAACTCATTACTGAAGAAAAGTTGTTGCTCTTGTTAAATGCCTTCCAGTATATCTCCTAAAATACCAAAATTCAAATTTAAATGTTAACACAACTGAATTTGCCTTTGCATACCAAAAAAAAGCTATTAAAAAAAAAAAAATCCAGTGAAACTTCAGCTACCAGAAAGCAAAACAAAACAAAAATACAATTTTAAATTGTCATCTTTAGATACAGCTTAAAACATAAATTGAAGCTTACAGTGATCCATTTTTCAAAACTCTAAACCTTGTTTAGTATAAGACAAAAAATGATAGTCTGGGAAGAAATCATCTTGTCAAAAGCTTTGATATATAAACTGTACTCGTGGAAAAAGAAATAAAAAATAATTGTATAGCCAGTTTCCCAAAAACATAAACCTAAACCGTATCACCGAATTGGAAGTTAGGCTGAACACAAGACTGCCGACTGCTGGCTGGCCCCGCGGCGTATTTTTCCAGTAGATTTTCAACTCCCAACACCTGTATCAAACTTGCCACTAAACGCATCCCTTCATGTAAGCAGAAGACTCCGAAGTGGGCAGCACAAGAGCACCCCAGCCACGTCTGTCTTTTGAATAATCTGACTTCTAGAGGGGCCTTGCATAACGAACCCTAAAATGTTGACTATCAGGGACTGAGTCATCGATTTTACATAAACCATCGGCCAGTTTTGAAACAACACAAAAATTCACAGCGACTTCTAAATGCCGTTAAAATAACGCCTTGAGTGGCTACATGTTTTGGCTAGAAAGATAGGAATAACGCATCTGCTTATCCAGTTAAACAGATACGGTGACATATTTCCACCTGAACTGGTGAAAATCGCACGCCCCCTACCCAACCCCGAAAATAAGCCACATGCCATCTAGTCCTACCACCACCACCCGCAGCTCGTACTCCACTGGCCCCCAGGGGGTGGGCGGGGAAGGGTCAAGCTCTCCTTCACCATCGCTCGGCCTCCCAAGCTCCAGAAAAGGTTTTCAGGTTCACGTGGGGGGTGCTCGAGGCGCGCCCAGCGCCATTAGCATGCCTCGGAGCGCTCCCCCAAGCCCGGCAGGAGGCAAGTTTGGCCAGTCCTGGGACCTATCCCCTGGCCCTGGCCTCTTCCCTAGGGCTGCATCTGCTGCGATAAACGGCGAGGGCAGGTCCCGGCTTCACCCACCTACCTACAGGGCTGGGGCGCCGGCTCCTCGGGGTCGAGAGAAGGGGGTAGGACGATCGCATTTCTGGGAGCGGTGGCCTCTGCCGTTCCGCGCGGGGGAGCGCATCCTCTCTGGTGCGTGGAAGGAGGGGTCGGGGGAGGACGATGCACCGACGAGAAGCGAGGGGAGGAGGCAGGAGCACCAAGGCGCGCGCGCTCGTGGCCCCGCGTACTGAGCTGTTTGATGCAGCCGCGTTCCAGATTCCGCAGGCCTTTTCCCACGCGTGGCGCCTCGCCGCCCCTGCAGTTGCGCCCGTGGTCACGGCATCGACAACTGTAGGGTCACGGACCCGGCTGCAGGCGGGGAGCTGCGGGTGGCGCGACGCGGTGCAGACGCCCGCCTCTAGCTCCGCCCGGCTAGCTGCGCGCTCTGTGCCCCTCGGCAACGGCGGGGGCCGGGGAGTTCGGCCCCCGGGCTCGGCGGCTCAGGCTGCAACTGCAGCATCCTCCCAGCCCCAGCGACTTCCAAGCTGGAAGGCTGATCACCCTCTTGATCCCCGGCCGCTGGAGCCCTAGCCGCCCAGCTTGGCCTCTGTAGTCCGAGCCCGACGGCTCCGCCCCGGAGAGCTGCGCGCGCGGCCTCGGCAGGCCTCGGCCCATTATGACGCCTGCCGAGCGCCCTCTCGTCGCTGCCTCTGCGGCCGGACTCCGGGCTGCGGAGCCTGAGGGTCGTCTTACCTGGCCTCGGGCCGCATCCTCTACGGTTGGCCCACTTTGATTACCATTCTTCGTGGGAGATACCGCTTAGAGAACAGAGCTGGAGTTAAAGCGTCTCCTCGAGCTTTAAAGCCCCTTGAGTTTCCTTCCAGCTCAGGGACGACTGGCCGCAATAAACTCATCCCTCTAGCTGTAGTTCCCTTCCGGCGTTGGGTTTAGTAAAAGGGGCCCACCGTCTCCTCCCACTCTCGCACTGGCCCCTAGTGCTGCATGCTGGATGCTGCCAAATTGCAATCCTTATGATAAGCAGCTGGGCCCTCCAAGCTGACTCTTGGCCAGACTAGAGAGCACCTTGGTTAGGAGGGTTTTTGCAACAGCTCTGGGACCCATCCCCAGTTGAGTGTTGTTCCCTCTAAGGTCCCATAACCAGCACAGCTAGATGACTGACTAGGAGGATATGGACATAGAGTTCACCCTTACACACAGAAGAATCTCAAGTCAGAGCCTGAAGCTGGTCTGATGACACTCATGTGTCAGAGGTCATACACATAGACACCTTACATAGAGGCTAGCTCTGGACACTAGTTAACTCAACAGCCTCTCAGGGGAGCATTTAACAGTGGTGGCCACAGGATTTCATTTATAAGTGATCACACTATACTTTCTTGCAAAATATAGAATAATTTCTCAATTCTGCATTGAGCATATTTTAAATGAGACTGGTTTTAAATTGTTTGGTTTGAATTGTGAGGAATTAAGGACTTTTCTCTTTTTTCTTTAGGCATTGTGTTATTTGTAGATTTTCTTTGTAAATAAAGATCCTTCCAGTGTTTATCCTACAGCGCCACATGAGAGTAAAGTCATGTATGAGGGAAATCAGGCCATTACTTACTGTTTAACAAAGTGTATAAAGAGGTCTGCTTTAGAATGGTAGTTTCTGTAGGAAAGGTCCACTAGGTTGTAATTCTTCATTATTTGCCATCTTTTCCCCACCAAAACCACCTCTTTGTTTTTCTCTCTTTGGACCCCCATATCTGTCAAGAAACAGATTAAGTAGTATTAATGCTTGTGGAAACAACAATCCAGAAATCAAGTGGCATATTACATTGGGTAAATCTGCAGCAAAAGACCTCTTTAAAGTACTTAAGAGGAAAGATGTCACTTAGAGGAAGGACTAAGGTACGTATAACCTTAGTTTCAATCACCTCATAAGCATAGGAAAGCTGGACAATGAATAAAGTAGACTGGAGAAGAATCGGTGCATTTGAATTATGATGTTGGTGAAGAATATTGAGTATACCATGGATTGCCAGAAGGACAAACAAATCTGCTTTGGATGAAGTACGGCTGGATTGCTCTTTAGAAGTGATTATGGTACTACTTTGTTTCTTGTACTTTGGACATGTTACCAGGAGGGAGTAGTCCCTAGGGAAGAACATCATGCTTGGTAAAGTGGAGGGTCAAAATGGACTCAAATATAACAACAATCATGAGGGTGTAGCAAAACCTGGGCAGTGTTTCATTCTGGTGTATGTAGGATCACTATAAAATGGAATCGACTTGATGGCACCTAACAACAATGACAATATTCCTTATAAAACAAAAAATATAGCTGAGTATGTATTATTAAAACAGTGAGCATTAATTATAAAATGTGTGCTAATCTTTCAAACACATTGCAAAGAATTTAAAGATCCTCTTAACTGTCTTCAATGAACCCTTGTAGTATAATATGCATGTTGTATAGTATGCTTCTTATAACATCTTATTGCAATGCAAGTCCCAGTATAATAAAGAATTCTCCCCAGTTTAGAGGGGAAACACTTTCTTCTTAAAAAGTCTTTACCCTTTCTTATTCAATAAGCAATTATTGCTTTTTCTAAGCCTTGTCTTTACAGAGGAGTCAGAATTGGTGCAGTGTTTAAAGCACTCAACTGCTAACCGAAAGGTCAGCAAACTGTTCTGCGGGACCCAGATGTGTCTATTTGCATCCATGAAGCTTTACAATCTGAAAACCACATGGAGCAGTTCTACTCTGTCTTACGGTATGGCTGTGAGTCAGAATCCAAAGTAGTGTTCATTTTTAATTCTCTAGATCAGCACTGTCCAATAGGTACATGTGACAATTTAAATTAGATACAATTTTAAATGTAGTTCTTTAATTCACTAGCCATATATCAAATGCTGAAGTGCCACATTAGACGAGAGACTATCATTTCGGACAGTACAGAATACGTTTCCTTTACTACAGAAAGTTATGACACAATACATAAAATAATTTAGGAACTCTCATTAACACTTGCTGTTGTTTGGTGCTGTCCAGTCAGTTCCGACTCATCGTGACTCTGCACAACAGAACAAAACACTTCCCGGTTGTGCACCATCTTAACAATTGCTGTTACACTTGAACCCAGTGTTGCTGCTCCTGTGCCAATCCGTCTCCTTGGGGGTCTTCCTCTTTTATTCCGACCTTCCACTTTACCAAGCATGATGTCCTTCTCCAGGGACTGGCTTCTCCGACAACACATCTAAAGTATGGGAAACCAAGTCTTACCATGTCAGCTACTAAGAAGCATTCTGATTGTTCTTCATCCAACATAGATTGTTTTTTTCTTCTGGCAGTCCATGGTTCTTTTGATATTCTTCTCCAACACCATAATTTAAATGCATCAGTTCTTCGGCAGTCTTTCTTATTCATTGTTCAACTTTCACATGCATACAATAAAATACCATTGCTTGGGTCAAGCTCATCTTAGTCCTAAAACTGTTATCTTTGCCCTTAAACACCATAAAGAGGTCTTGTGCAGAAGATTTATTTAGTGCAATACATCATTTGATTTCTTGACTTCTGCTTCATGATTGTGGATCCATTCAAAATAAAGACTTTGACAACTTCAATTTTCCTCCATTTATCATGATGCTACTTACTGGTCCAGTTGTGATAATTTTTGTTTTCTTTACATAGAAGTGCAATCCATGCTGAAGGCTGTAGTCTTAGATCTTCATCAGTAAGTATTTTAAGTCCTCTTTTCTCAAGCAAGCAAGGTTGTAATATCTGCATATCACAGGTTGTTAATGAGTATTCCTCCAATCCTGATGCCATATTCTTCTTCATATAATCCAGTTTCTCCGATTATTTGCCCAGCATATAGACTGAATAAGTATGGTGAAAGAATACAACCCTGGCACACATCTTTCCTGATTTTAAACCATTAAGTATTACTTTGTTCTGTTCTAATAACTGCCTCTTCGTCCTGGTGGTACTATGGATTAATATGCTGGATTGCAAAGTCACTTTGAACTACAAAGTCGGTGGTTCAAACTCACCAGTTACTCCTTGGACAACCTATACAGGGTCACTATGAGTTGGAACCAACATGACAGCACTTAACAACAACAACAACAGTCTAAGTAGCTTTGGTAGCATAGTGATTACAAGTCAGGCTGCTAACCTTAAGGTCAGCAGTTTGAAACTATCAATCATTCCATGGGAGAAAGATGAGGCTTTCGCCTCCTGTAAACATTTACAGTCTCAGAAACCGTATGCAGCGTGCTATGAGTCAGAAATGATTCCAGGGCATACAATCACCACCACTAGTCTATGTCCAGGTTTCTCATGAGCACAATTAAGTGTTCTGGAATATCCATTCTATGCAATGGTATCCATGATTTGTCATGATCCACACAGTTGAAAGCCTTTGCAGTCAATAAAGCAAAAACTAAACATCTTTTTGGTATTCTCTGCTTTCAGTCAAAAAATATCTGTCACCAGTAATGATATCCTTTTTTCCATGTCCTCTTATAAATCTGACCTGAATTTCAGGTAGTTCTCTGTCAATGTACTGTTGAAATCGCTTTTTAATAATTTTCAGCAAAATTTTACTTGCATGTGATATAAATGATAATGACATTTCTGCATTCCATTGGGTCATCTGTCTTTGGAATGGACCAAGTATGTATTTCTGCCAATCAGTTGGCCTGGTAACACTCTTCCAAATTTCTTGGCAGAGATGAATGAACATCTCTACTGCTTCATCAGTTTTTTGAAAATTTTCAGTTTGTAGTCCATCAATTCCTAGAACCTTGGTTTTTACCAATACCTTCATTCTAGCTTAGACAGCTTCCTTCAGTACCATCCATTTGTGATCTTATGCTACGTCTTGGAATGATTAAGCATCCTTGTGGTGCTGTGGGCTAATCCACTAGACTGCAAGGTTGGTTGTTTTAAACTACAAGGTCGGTGGTTCGAGCTCACCAGCCGCTCCTTGGAAACCCTATACAGGGTTGCTATGAGTTGGAACCAACTTGATGGCATCTAACAACTACAACAAATTACTTTAACAATAAACATTGCTATAATAAAGGGTAACTTTTTAAAAATTGTATTCCCATCACCTCTCATTGACTCTGGTTCAT